CTCATTTTTAAACTCTGGATCAAAAGCATCCAAAGCGAAAAACTTTTCCCTGCCTTTGTTTGAAACCTTGGCACAACATTACTAGCATCATTTAAGTACAGACCAGGACTCAGCGGCAGCCAAACCTGCACCCTGCTGATTAGCATGCCTCACAGTATCTAACAGATGTTTGACTTAAGAACCCAAGAATTTCATTGCTCAAACACTTTATTAGATCCCTAAACCTAGAAATTGTTTTCAATAATGTGTGTGCTGCTTTGGGGCCTCAGAAAAGCTGCTCTGGGAGCTAGGTAACATTTCCTAGGAGGCAAAAACGTGATCAAAAACATATTTGATAAAAAGGAGAAGAGGTAATGATGTTTTTTAACTGCAATTTTATTTTACTTCATCTCAGAAGCATGATCTAACTTTAAAAGAGGGTAACGACTATTGGATTTTCTTTTGCATCTTTTTTAAAACAAAATGATTCTCATTTAGGGTTGGTGGGGTTTTTTCCCCCTAAACCAAATAAACAATAACACTGGAATGACCTTGTAACAGGTTTCTGTGACTCTTAATCACCAGTGGCTGCTAAATGAAGCATATCTATTTTCTCTGTTACATTACTATTGGCAACCAGGTCTTCAGTAAGTGCCCAGAAATATTTCCATGGCAACAAAAAGCATTCAGCATTGCTACTGTTTTGTGCCAATTTAGCTTTAAAATATTCTATTGTGGAGAGAAATATGGTACATTAAGTGAAATAAAGTCAAGATGCAATGTTCTGAAAAGAATATAAGGATAAACAGGAAACATGTATTTTGCAGAAATGGGGGAAAAAAAATGCCAAATGGAAGGAAAAATGTTCAAAGCTAATATTGATGCTACTGAACGCCTTTGCTGAATGTCATCAAGTCCATATGCTCACTTACATTGTCACTTAGGGTTAGATAACAAAGCTAACAGAAATAAGGATACCTCAAACATCTTCTCTTGATCATTTTAATCCATGACTGAAATTTTAAGTTGCCAGGGTATCACAGCCTCTCTGCATGTCTAGATTATCATGAGAAGAGTTCATACTCTTGATGTTAGAGAATGATTCTAAAGGAAAAAGAGGAAATAAAGAGTTGAAAAATTAGATAGAAAGAGCATGTGTGTGTTTTGGAAGGGAAGGGTCACTTAGAAGAGCAAAACGAGTTCTTACACATCAAAGATGTTGTGGAAGACATTTTCAAATCACAGTTCAGCACCTCCTCTCCTATTAAACAACTTAATTCTGAGAAAAAAAAAGCATCAGCTCCCAGCCCTCCAACTCTCAAACACCCAACTTCATGACTATAAAGTCTTGAAACCATTGGATGGCCCTTTGCACGGTGCATTGCAGAGATAAAAAGATAAAAGACTATTTGAGAGCATTCCGAGTGACATTCCCTCTGGTGTAAAAAGCTATGCAACGCCCTCTAAAGTGCTTCATGTGGAGGCAGAGAACTCTAGGCAGCTGCAGTGTAGGTGCTGGGGAGCTCTGTAAAGCCAGCCTTCCAGTCCACAATGCCTGCAGACAGCTTACTGAGAAGGAAAGCCAATAAATATTAAAAGATAGTCCAACAGCAACTTGATCAGTACCTGCCCTCACCTGGGAGAGAGGTTCAGAGTGATGCCCTCCTTTAGCTGTTGTGATGGGTTACTCTGGCATCTGACTGTCACTTTGTGTCTCTCACCCGGAAAATTCATCTAGTCCACCACATGCTCCTAAGGACACTACTTCTCAGATGTCCCTGTAGACAAGACTGCAGGTGAGAAACTGCTCTGACAGTGACAGCAGCCCGTTCCCAGCCCCTGTTTCCCTAAGAACTCATCGCCTTTTCTCCCATCCACTGTGAGCAAGGGTGTAGTCCAGAGGCAGGACAAAGATCTGGAGGCCACCATTGGAATAATGCATTCCACACTTGGTTGCTCCCCAGCCTACTCTGAGGAGCCCCAGGATTTGCCATGAACTGCTCTAACAGCCCCTCTTGGGGGTACAGGCTCTGCAGGAGACAGGCTGCACCCTGGATAGCAGTCATCCAGGAGGGTCCATGGCCCCAGCACTTCCTGGAAGGACACTACATGCTCTGCTCCATTGCATCTATGCACACACTGGATACATAATTCAAGCGCAAACAGTAAATCCAGCCCTGCACAGGTTAGAGGTTGGGCTCCAACAGATACAGCTCTAGGGTCCTTAACCTGAGAATTGCCAATTGTTCATTTGGAATAAGAAACAAGCAGTCCCAGTTTGGTACACAGAACAGCTAGACCAAAAAGCTCTTTTTAATTATTTACTCCCTGGCCATAACAGTGTGAGGAATAGTAATAAAGAAAAGAGCTAATTTTAACATTCATTAAAGAACACCGTCAAGGTTTATATCCTCTCAGTCTGATATTCCTGTTAAATATGAAAACAAACAGGCTGATCTTCCCCAGTCTGCACAGAAATGGCTAAATATGTAAGACTTCCCTAGAAGCCAAGAGTGATTAAAAGCTCTTGGTCATTATAAAACAAATACTTTCAAGAGCATCTACTGTCTGCTTCAAAAAAAGAAATTGAGATATTGGAAGCCAAATTCTGAAGACCCTCAGTGAGTCTCAAGTTCATCAGCTCCATACTGTAGACCCACACCTCCCTCCCCCCTTCTCCCTTATCCCCCTTCCTAGGATGTTCATAAAGAGTGGCTTTAACCCAGCAAGACCCAGGGATGGTGACAGCAGGACTGCAGCTGTCCTGCTGGTAGCTGAGACATACATCTCCATCAGTCCTCTGTGACCCAGGTAACTTCCAGCCACTTTTACAGCAATATTTAGTGAGTACTAGTCACAGGGCTGAACTTCAGTCCTGAACACTGAAAAGCTGTTCACGTCATTTAACGATCAGAAGTCAGTTAGGCCTATTTAAAATTGAAAATATCAAATTCAGTTCTCCTTCCCATAATCTCCTGCCTGCTGTCCTCTTCAGTCTTATTTGAAAAGCCTGTGGGGGTGGTGGGAGGGGAGGAAAGCGATTTGGGAGCCTTTCATCCATAAAATCATGAGATGCGGCTGGCTTTTTAGTACAGCATTTCACAGCACATGGCACAGTAACATCTTGAGATTCCTGGCACAAAGAAACAAGGTTTGAGATTATATATATCTTTAATAGCAATGACGCAAAGGCAGATGGTTCTCAAAGCAAAGGCTTAAGGCTAAACACTCCCTCTGAAGGGTCCTGCTACCAGAAAAAAACATGGGGGGAGAAAAATACTCCTTGTTACAGCAACAGGGCCCAATTGCCTTCTAATACATAGCATTTCACCCTGGAGATTTCCACTTGTTTCACTGAGAATAGTCTCACGAACAAGAGAAGAACTGGAAACAGAAAAGGAAAGGTTAGTTTTTTCTTCGGGATTTGGGGAGCTCTATTTCAGCTGTGGGAAACAAAGACAACACAGAACATAATGAGCAGATTAGCAGCTAAATCAAATCAATACCAGAAAAGAGAGGTCTGGATAATACTGTCAGGGTGTGTGCTAGGTGCTTACCTGCAAAACTTGCCTTGCCATTATTACATTTTAAGGAGCCACCCAAGCTGAGGTTGAGCTCGTGACCTCCCATCCTCATAGAGGGCTCACCTTCTTCCTCAGCGATGGGAGGAAGTCGATCAAGCGGTGGCTGAAGATCTTCATTCGTCCAGTAGGATCCATCAGTTGTCAAAGACCTGGTGCTTTCAACACACTGCTCTGGTAATCTGCTGGTATTTTTAACCCGTTTTTGCCTCTGCAGACGCATGTCAGAGCCATCAGGGAGGTCTTGTGAAGCAAGATCAGGACCCCCAATGTGACCATCTTCTCTAGGATACAAGTATTCCTCATCCCAGAGGTCCAGGTGTCGTTCATCATCTGATTCCTCAGAATAATCCTCATAAATTCCGTTATTCTCCAAGTCCTGGTTCTTTTCTTCTCCTGACTTACGACCTGCTCCACTCAAATTCAGCAGTGAAGCAGATATAGAGTCTCCTGCTTGTTGGATAGCTTCATATATTTGAGACATCCAAGAAGACAGTGGTTGAAGGAAATTCTGAGCAGCCTCAGAAGCCATGTTTAACACTATGCCAGCATCTGGTGATCAGTTGTTCAGCTTTGCCAGCACGTCACTTATAATTCAGGGAGCTACAGAATAAGCACCATAAGAGATTACTGTAAATTGCTTGTCCATCAACACCTGTCGACACACTATCTACGTAAGATGTTTAAAACTGAGAGAATAAATGGAAAAAGCACCTCTACCCATGAGAATACCACTAGAAATCCAGAAATGATGGACAAATTACACACATTCCTGCAGAGATCTGGAAAGCTTTCATTCAATTGCTAAACCTTATATAAAAACATAGAACATTGGAACAGAAGTACCTTTTCTGAAGCTCACACATTCTGGTTACAGCTGTCAACAAACCTGGTAAAAAAAGTACAAAACAATCTGTAGTCAAAAATCTCAAATACTCTCCTGGCCCTGACTTCCACCTCATTCTTAGCATTAGCATGTCCAGATAGGAAAATTGAAGGGTGGAGAATTTGGGGAGAACTATGTTTTGATTTAAACATAAAGTGACAGGCCTAAAGTGTGCAGAACCAGCCCGTGGCAGACAACTATCTCAAATGCTTTGCTCCAGAAAGGCTCTGAAGAAGACCTCTCTGCCCACAGAGTCACACAACCCAGAGTTCTTTTGTCCTTCACTGAAATGAAAAAAACAACCACAGGAGGTGGAATATTATAGGCACAAAATTACTGGGACAGAAGCAAGTTAACAAAAACATTGGTATCACGTTGATATGATAGGTTTCCTCAAAACTCATCTAAACCCTAAATAAAAACATAACTTGCAGAAAGTTAAAGTGCCTTTTTGCCCAGTACACACCTTCCCACATTATCACATGACATATATTCTTTTAGGAACTCTTGAGAAGAAGGAGAAACCTACAAATAGGATGATGGATTTAAGAAGAAAGAATTAAATAGTTGCAGACTTTAGTCTAAAAGATAACTAAAAAGAAGCATAAAGAAGCTTCAAAAATTAATAACAGTGTATGGCTGAATTTAGAGGTCTAAGAGCAATCAGACTAAAAAAGGATACATGTCATATAAGCAGCAGGAAAATAAGCTCAGTAGCAATGTGTATTACCTCGTGAAATAGTCTCCAGATAAATGTAGTGGGAATCCCAGTGTTTTGGATTTTTAAATGGAGCATGGACTAACGAGATCCCACCTTGCTTGGTGAGCAGCTTTTTTACAGATGAGATCAGTGATTTAAGAGGTCTTCACCTTTTGAAACACCCGTGCTGAGCGATGTTGTTCAGTGATGTTGACTTACACAGCAGAAACTTCCGACAAGTTTACTATCAGCTTCAGCACGTACTAACAAGGGCAGTAAATGAATGTAGATTACTAAAGCCATTTCAAAAGCTGATGGCTGTTCCAAACTTTCTGGGCTCCAGGCACACACTGTTCCAGTATCCACCTGTGAACCGCTGGCCTCTGGCTCAGCCGCTGGGACGCAGGTAACATTCCCTGCCACGCATTAAACCTTCGGCAAAGAACAGACAATGTCACAGCATAACCTCCCAGGTGAGCTGCTGCTTTCATTGACTCTCCTCTTTCCAACCCTGCCCTTGGTGAAGCCTCTCCGCTTTGTGCAACTTATTTTCTCATAGACCTAAAGTGACTACACACTCCAATGTGCAGATTCGCTACCAGTGAGTCACAGCAACAGAGAAGTCACCAGGGAGGAGATGCTATTTGTAAGAATGAGATTCTCCCAGGCATGGAAGGACATACATTTGGGTCCACAAGTACTGTATACATTTTTAATCTGTCATTTATTTACAGGCAACAGCAAATGAATCTCTGATTTCTGATGAAAGAACTTCATAACACTCTGCCTCCATCTGAGCAGCAAGATACATGACAGCAGTAGCCCTTGGAGGGACGCAGGCATCCAGGAGTGATAGCTAACCAATGCAGATAAAACATATGGGTTCTAAAATGAAGCACTGATCTATTCTAAAAATCAACAGAACAGAGACTTGTGATATTTGCAGAGGGAATAATTAGCTCCTCTTCTTACTAGATTTCAGAGCTAACACCCAACTGGTCCAACAGAGCCATCCCACTTCTCCCGGATGCTGTGGCTGATTGCACCACGGCTCGGGCAAACAGTGCAGTCTTGCACAAGGGACTCAGCATTAGGGAGGCTGGTATCACAGCTATAAAGATGGAGGGAGTTTTTCAAGGTAAGATTTTATTTTAGTCTGGAATTAAAGCAGTGATCTACAGTCACCGGCAGGGCTTAGATGTGGTCACCCAGTCATCTGAAGAGGCAGATAAGAGCTGAATATGAATCTTTCATATACCAAGTAGTTGACCCAATCATCTTGCTATGCACACACGTATATACACATCCACAATTCTACCTAAGACCTGGAAATGTGTCTGGATTACAGCCAGAGAACTGGAACAAACAATTTGATTTCAGTTTATGGATAATGGATAGACACTGAAGTATATTTCACCAAAAAAATGGGAACTGCTTTGCAGTAAACCCTGCAAAACAGCTGTACAACTTGCAATTCAATGCCTACATAATACCTACAGCCAAAAGTAATGCAATTTCCAGGGAGCCTGACTCCATTTACCTTTGCTTGTCTCTTTCTCCTGTCCTCTCCCTCTTAGCAAAGACTCCACAGTCAGCGATATCCTGAACAACTGGAGTTCAACCCAATTATAAATCGCTTATTTTTGGTCTTGCAGCAGATGGATAAAATGTGTAACAAGCTGCAGACAAGTTTAGGCAGGCAACTTTTTTACAAACTCAACAGAGGATCAAAAGGGGCTGAGCTCTGTTACAGGCTTGCTGTTTCCCAGGAGCTCTCTCCCTTAATTAGCAGGCTCTGCTCTAACAGGGTGTTTAAGATATATTTCACAACATGGCCTTTTCAAAATAACAGATTTTTACTTTTGAGTCCTCTAACAATTTTGACTTGCATTAGAAAAAAAAAAATAAAAGAACTAAGAAGAGCATTTAAAATGTGTGGGAAAGAAAAATCCATTTCTTTTTAAAAGGATTCCTCAAAAAAGAGAAAAGAAAAAAACAGTTTAACAAATTCACTTAAAGTTCCATCTTCTAAAACTAAGCACAAGAATTTTCACACTGAATCACCTGCTTAACTCAAAGTTGTTTGTTGGTTTTATTTTCCTTCTCGGAAAATCAGATAGCTAAAAGGATCAATGTTAAGCCTCTCACAGAAACCATCATAACCTTTACTACAATCTATATTCCCTTGTCTTGATAGGATCGTTATTTCTGAGCAGCGTTCCCATTGAGAGGTGCAATTACTGTATGGCTAAAAAAAGAAGACTATTAACAGAATTGCAAACACCATCCCAGTGCAGAGGTTTGTAATATTAGCAAAATGTCTTTCAATCTTCTTGATATGCAGGCTTCTAAAAATTGCCATCAGATGTGCATTTCTTAACAATGATTTCCCTTATTCAAACTGTTGTAGAGCATAGGCACAAACTTCCTTTTCTTCAGGCACTTTTTGTGTGGCCCTTGCAAAAGTTTTCTACCAAACTCCTCCCTTCTAGGGAGGCTTGTAGACCACAGGTTGAAAATAGTGTCCCATCATATAATAACCGAAAAATTTTCAAATGAGTGCTTATTTCTGAAACACTAGAACTAAATCAAAGTGTGAAACTAAGCTGATGCCCAGAACGTCAGGGTCTGTGCAAAAGGCAAGGCCATTTTGCTGTTCATGAAAGGAGAAGGTAAGGAAGGCTTGAAGAGGTTAAGATGATTTAATAACTCCTTTTAAGATACTGAAAAATAAAATGAGCCTGATCCTCCTTTTGGACTGGAGTCCAACTGGTACACATGTAAAATAGCACAGGGGAGATTAGAAAAGTACTCTGCTGAAGGCAGGCAGCAGCAGCACTGGGCCAAGAAATCCTCTATCCTAGTTTGGGGAACAATTTGGACTCTTCGCTCCTCCTGTAGTTGCCAGAATCGTGTTTAACAAGACACTAGCAAAGCCCTTCCATCCTCACGGTGAAGAATAACCAAACACTGCTACGATGAAACTCTATTTCCAGTTAAAATTGTCACAGTGCCAAAACCAGCCTGTGCATTTGAAGCTGTTCAGTTGATTGAGCCTCTTGCAGAAGCATTATGAGGAAAGTTCACAGACAGTGCCCAAGGTTCACATCAACTGTGAGCGTCACTGTTGACCAAGTTTCCCTAAGGTAAAACAAAACAGAGATACAGAACATCTTGGTACCTTTTTGGCCTAGGTGCTATAAAAATGCTATTTATGTAGCTGAATTTAACGCAAAAAAAGGACAAGACAGAGGCACTTTCCAAGTGATTATGTGATCTGCAATAACAGTTTTCAGCTGGTGAATGAGAACTCCAGAGCATTCAAGGAAGATCTAATGGTTTATGCCAATAAATCACACACACCTCACTGGAAACATTCATGGGTTACAAATCAACAAGGCAATAAACCCACTAATGCAACGCACTGGTCCTGCAAGCCCGAAAAGGTTGAAGTGAAAACAAAGATGAGATCAGACAGACAGCAAATGCACCCTGCTGCACTGGGTTTAGCCTACGCAGGGGAAGCTTGCAGACTTATTCCTCACTCCCAAATCATCTCATGTCTTTGCAGGCAGCTTGCTACTAGTGATGCTGTGCCAAATTAGTTGTAAAAATTGTTACCCAAATGACAGAAGTGGTTTTGATCAGGATATTTAGCCCCATGGTGTCTCCTTCTTTCTTCTCATTCCTTTGTTGCATGCTTTCCTTTTGTCAAAAATAATGGCAAGGATTACCGATTCTCAGTTTCAGCGGGACAGGGAGAAGAAGAAAGGGATAGAAGAAAAAAGAAATTATGCAAATGTGACACTAATCGTTCAAAACTGTGGAGCCTTTTTCAAAAATCCCAGATCTCTCCGCCATATAGAGCATACGGTAATAAATTCAGGCAAAAAAAATGCTCCTGGAAGACCAGCATCCTAACATTATGCTCAGAAGCTCCACCAGC